AGTTTGGTATGAAATTGTAGATTATAATTCAAATTTTAGTATTGTACATTAGTTAGTTTCTTAATTTGAAACTAAATATTTAATGAAAAGGCTAAATATCGATTTGTGAGTGTCACGTGGTACACTGCATTCTGGGTTTGGTCAGATTACATTTTATGATGCCCACAATACAATGTCTGTAGTTTCGTACAAATTAGAAACTCAAACGTTTGATATTGGCAAACTAGAATATAAAATATGAATCTCCTACCTTTTCTGTTTGCCGAGATATCATGATATTTAGCGAACCCACCATATTGGCTCCACCCACCACTTCATATTTGAGTAGACACGTTTATCTATGCCTACTTTTATATACCAATAACTATATAATCAAGTGAAAGCTATATATTTATTTTACATAATTTTGTCAGTGTTTTTAAGTTATTTATGAGAGAAATGCTCTTGTATCATTGGAAATTTTGAAGTATTGATATCAAGGCTATTTTGTGAATAGAAGTTATTGTTTTTTAGACTCAAATATAGTTTAGTTAGGAAGCCTGATAAATTACAGTGGATTTTTGTGGTATCGGTATAGTAATTAATATTTTTTTTTGTATTTCAAAATGCTTATATAAAGTCTACAAAAATTATTATTTTTCCATCTCCGTATGTGAATTTGGACGAGGCTTAGCAAGTATGGCTCACGAGTGCAAACAAGGACTTCATAGCATAATGAGCAGTAGAGATCATTGTATTTCAAATATTTTTTATTTACTGTTTTATGTTTGAAGAACAATAACTGACATTTAAGTATTTATTTGAAAATATTAGTTATATATATATATGTATGTGTGTGTGTGTAGTGTATGGTAGCCAATATGTTACTGTATTTTACAAAGTAAGAACTTGTGTTATTTTTCTACTCACTTACATTGTGGTAGAATAAAAACAAATCATACAAAACTAAAGACTTGTCAGTTCAGGAAAAGTTTATTTATGTAATTTGTGAAAGTCTAAGGAACATCTTTACATAAACACCCGGTTGAACTTGCAGTTTGCTGGTGAATAATTTGTTACAATCAAGAAGGCTAAGCCAAGAATACTAACCCATCCAAAACTAGCTATATTTATATTACTGGAAACTCCACATTTATTGGTTACTGTGTAAGCATGGTAACATAGGAAACAATGTCTGTAAGCATTTACACACATTTATACCTATACCAATACTAAATCTCAACCACCAAGTTAGATAACTAACAAGTTCATTGGATGGGATACAACTTTATACTTTGTACAGAGTCATATCATTAATATTTTCTCTCACTTTTATAAAGTACTTTAGACAACTCTTATTGCAACCACTGTATACTAAAGAAGCCGACAAATTCTACTCCACTGTGTTCTCAGAGCAGCGATCCGAATAGTTTCTGAAGGATACCTCTGCTTTTTGACTTATTGGATCGACCCAGACTTTCTACAAAGTCATATACATTTTATAATACTTCAGACAATTGTCGTTGTAACCATTATACTGTCAACAAGTTGATATATCCTATCCCATTGTGTTTTCAAAGCATGATATTGATGGTATCAAAGTACAATAACATTTAAACAGGAACAGTAATTCATTGCTTTATATTCGGCAGATTTCTACTTCAGCCAATAACAGTAGAATAACAATAGGAAATAGGTATAAAAAGATTAGAAGAAACTCTCAGGAGATTTACTTGGAACTTTACTGTCTGTACTGAAAAGAACAGAGTACTATTCATTTTGTTTCTTTTAATTTCTAACTCATCTACTAGCAATAAAATAACTACAGGAAATAAGTGTGAAAAGATGAGTGTAAACTCTGGCCATAAGTACTTTGAAATTTTGTAATCGCTACTAACAATACTATACATTTTATTTTGCAATCTTTATTTTCGTTATACTTTGATTACTTACCTACAACCTGGAGAAATAAGTATAATAGTACAGTACAAAAAATAACATATAAAATATAAAGCTTTCCTGAAAATAAAAATGTTTAATAATGAGGTTTTTTATATTTCATTTGTTTTAACTGTTTATTATTATAAAAGTAACTAAAATCAGAAAGTTGTTAGGTAAAATAATGAAAGAAAAATAATAAAAAACCTTCATGGGGTATACATGCCAGAAGCTTCTGCATTACACTATTCGATAGGGTCTTGTCGATGCACGTGCGCTGTGTAATTTTCAACTTCTGTCTGGGTATTTCTAGTCAGACACTGTTCAAATGTCAATATAACATATATAAATAGATTTATACTCTTAAGAGATTTAAGCTATTTAGAATAAACATTTGTGGTTTCCTATTACAATTTGCAGTTATTCTAGAACAAAAAAGGTAATTTTCATGATAGTTACGAGGTTGGTCAAATCGATCAACACCATATAGAGCTAATGATAAAATAACAGATTAAATATAAAGTTTTATTTAAAAAACGTTTGACAATTATCTAGAAGGATGTAGAGATTATGCAAACGAAACTTGACAAATTTCAGATAAAGAAAAGTATTTTTAATCTTAAAATCAAAATTACATTGTACATTGGATAGTCAACATTCTGAAAGAAAAAAATTCATGAGCAAATCTTTAATAATAAAAAAATCTTAAAACATAATTCAAAAACCAGATATTTCATGTATGAAATTCTTGTAATGTTTACTAATAATCTGCAAAAGTTTGTAAAGACTTGCGTACATTTTCAAAAATTATAGTACAATTACTCTCATAGATACTTTCCTGGTTACAAGCTGGTTGAATTCCACCCAACATGTAATGAAAGGGTTAAAGCAAAAATTTGTATTTTTTTTTCAGGTACATAAAACATGCCTATAAAGATGTTGCAGTTAATAAAAGTTAAACACCAGAAAATGGAAAGAAAATTATAAAATATTTCATAAACAGATTAAGAATATCGTGTAGATATCTAAAATAACTTGTAAAAAAGTCTTGTTAGTCATTTACTTGTCTTGTGTATGACCCAATTGTTAGTGCAACAGCTTATATTTTATCATGCATGTGAATTTTCATGATTTATCATATTAATTTTGGGATATATTAACCACTTCAACTTTAGTGTTTAATTTTTGTGCAATCAAATGTTTGTTTGTTTTCATAGGATATCTTAAATTTGGAAAAAAAAGTAAACCAATGTAAACACGATTTAAAATTTTTCAACAGCAACAAATTTATGTACCATGAAACAGAAATCGTTTACAGACTAATCGAAAATGCATCACAAGTGGGAAAGGTACCTGATGTGTTGGTGGGAAAACTAGGACTACACCAACTGCCAAACCAATCTGAAGATGAACTTGAAAAATCTGGGGGTGTTATTGAAGAACCACCGCGATCAAAAAAGAAGCGTAGAAGTGGAAATTTTCAAGGTAAAATTGCGTTAGCTTTTCTCTCATTGTTTCTCTCAGATAATTGAAAAAAAAGGTATGAATCATACTTATTATTTGGTGTTTCTTTTTTTTTTTTTTTACTCAAAATTTGATAAAATGTAGAATTTCACTTGAACACTTGTTTAAAGGATAAATAGAATGTTAAAATTATAGTAATGAAGTTATCCATGAAAATAGAAACAATTATATCTTGATTTATTTTTATTTGTATTTGTTTTCAATGCCAAATTATTTCTTAGTTTTTATGGATCATTTTCACATTTAAGTGAGATATCTGAATTCAACATGCTAAAATGATATACATAGTAAACTGTCTCCATGAGTGAGTGCATTGAACTACATAATGTCAGCTCATAAATTTACTTAACTCGCAAGTAATAATTTTTTTGAAAGAAATAAAGAAACGGTAACTTCTCGTTATCAAATCAAATATTATATTTTAGTCTCTTGCATGTTCTGAAACATTATTGTTATCATATAAAATAAATAATACATTTTTGTTACCTATTTTTAGTTTGTATTTAGTTATTCCATTGCCAATGTTTACCATAGTGTTGTTTATTTAAAAACTTCTTCCTTATACAACTTATCTACTGAACATGCGTATATAAGTAAACAATAGATTTTAACCAAAGATTTTATTCACCAATAAATCCAAAAAGTGTACAGTATAGGTTGAAAGAAATATATGCATTTTTAACATATCTGTGAAAAGAATTGTTTTTAATGTGCCAGTTGTAAAAATCTCATTGTTTTCAGAGTTTGTGAGTGGATTAAGAAAGATTGTTCATGTCAGAACACCAACTCGCTCACATCCGAGCAAGGTTTTGTCTGAGATCGATACTCCTGATGTATGCAATGATAACCTTGGAAATTCATCCACGGGAACCCCAGTAACAAGGTCAGGCTCAAAACGCAAAGCTGAAGCAGACCTTCCTTCTTTTTCGGCTTCCAAAAAGTAGGCCCCTTTGTAATCCCATGCCGTCTGTTTGCCTGTCAATCTGTTGACCTTAGGTTATATTTTTGGAAATAGTAATAAATGATTGTATTAGTACACACAGTTCTCATATTAAAAATATGTTTAGAAGACCTCTTTTAAAGTTAACTATTTGATCAACATGATACTATATTACTATAAATTTTTCAGTTCAGGATTGGCTTAGTAAAAAGCAATTTCCAGTAGAAGTTTTTTTTTCTCTGCTTACATAAAAGTTTTTCTATTAGATTTTCTTCTAAGGATGGAAAAAAAAACAAGCTTTAACAACAATAAAAACTAGTAGTAATTACTTTTTATTTTCCTGAGATGGTTAGTATTCTTTCATTAAACAAAGTATTTTGATCAGAGTTATTTAATTAATGATAACTTGGGCTGAGCATGGCCCAATGATTAGTGCCAGATTGTGGTTTGTGCCCCTTTATCACCAAAGGAAAAAAAACAAAAAACAAATACACTGAATAAATAAAAGGAAAAAGCAACAGGGGATAATTTAAGATAAAGATGTTGGTATAGTGTGTTCTAACATAGATTTTAAGCACTATACCCACCCCAATTTTTTTATAGTGAGGGGGAGGGGCTGTCTTGTTAACATAAACAGATTAAATCACTATGAAATTGATGTTCAATAAATTATTTTTTTTTATATAAATGGGCTGAGTATGGCCCCATGGTTAGTGTGTCAGGCTGTGGATCTGCATCTCCATTTGTTCTTGTCTAGTTATCAAAAAAAAGTTCTCCAGATTTTGGAGCTATGGGTGCATTATAAGAGTTACAGGTAAATCCCATTAATTGGTCAGAAAAGAATAACTCGTTGGTGGGTGGTGTTGACTAGCTGCCCTTTCTCTAGGCTGTTGCTTCAAAACTAGGAATGGCTAGTTCATATAGCCCTTTAATAGCTTTATGAGAAATTCAACAAACAAACAATAATGATAACTAAGTAGAAGATAAATAGATCTTAAGGCTCAATTTTATATGTGGCTTCTATATTATTGTTTTTGGTTTTCGTGTATTTATAATCAACCATGAAGTTTTTTACATGTTTGTTGTTAAATATACCCCTGATCTTACTGCGTTGCTCCATATTGGTTTAAATGCAAATTCCCTTCAGATTACTTGTGAAGTCAGCTTCAGCTAGCTTATACTAAGTGTGTGTGTCTGTGTGTTTATATTGTTTTAAATGTGCATTGTTTCCCATCTACGTAAAACTTTACTTCTTCTAATTTTTTTCTATTAAATTCTGATACACGTGTAACAATATTTTCATACCATAAATCTTGAGATGAATGCAAACTTCCACATATACAAGTTAAAAACTGTTCTATTTTGTTTCAACATTATGATTGTTTAATGTTTTTATAGGGGGCCAAAAGTTCAAAATAAATTATTTTAGTAGGAAGCATTTGTTAACTATAAGAAGAAAAAAAAAGAGTAAAAAAGAAATTGGGAAGTATTAAACCCTGTTATAAGTCAGATGAGATTAAATTATTAATTCTACATTGTTTTGTAGGCTTGAGCTCAAAACAATTTTAAACAATTAAACTAAATCACTATGTTGAAGACTCACGCTTGATTGACAAGAGTGTGCTGAGTGAAGATCCAGTGCTGAGCAAGATAACTGCATGCAAATTGTAGATTAATAATAACTTCTTATCATAGTAAGTTTAAAAACAAAATCAACCTTGCCATCAGTATACCTAAATAAATATATTTTTCTTACATTTATATTTATAAATGACTGTTAATTATGTTTTCGGCCATAAACCCAATAATATCGTGTGAGGCTTGTAAAGATAGAGAATGTATGGCACTGCTATACAGAGAAGTGACATTGCTAGCTTGATGGTCCAGGAAAAGTAAGAAATGTTTCTGGACTATATGTTGACTATTCCAATGGAGCTAGTTGCTTAATATTAAGAATGTGTTTTACTTCTGATTTTTTGACTCGCACGTTGGACTTATTTCTCTTGAGTGGAAAAATGATGATATTAATTAGTTAAACTTAGCATGCTCAAATTCCTTTCTTCCTTTGTGGATTGACATTGGTCAATTTGCTGTTTTGAAGACTACAGCTGCAGTATCATACTATTCCAAAGAGTTGTACTTAATGTATTTAATTATTTATTAAATAGATTAAATATGAGTTAATGATTATTTACAATATTTATATTGCATTTTAATGGTATAAGTAAGTATGTTTGTAGCTGAGAAGTCTTGCAAAAATGTAGTGCAAATATAATTTTTAAAAATATATTATCAGGCTAGGATGCAAGCTGTGAAAACAATTCATTAAAATTCCAGTCTTTAATTTTACTTTCCAACTGCCAAAACAATAAAAACGTTGTTCTTATTTTTCATCGTGCCTATAAAGTCTGAAGGCTTGTAACTCAAAAACCCACTTTTCAATACCTGTGGTGAACACATCACAGATAACCCACTGTGTTTGTTTGTGCTTCATGACAAACAAACAAATTTTTCATTGTGATCATTATACACTATATTTTTTTAAAGCTGTGTCAGCCATAATTACACTATTAATTTTTAAACTGCTTTTATTTTTCATGGTGGTCTACAGTAATAACACCTAAATAACTTGTACCAGAGTTGAAAGTTATAATAAAGATTAGCTATTGTACTTTATGTAGCAAATAGAAATTGTTGCAACTTTTTTTTTAATGATTTCCAAAGAAACAATAACTGTCTTGAGTTTCACAGAATCAGAAAATTGTTTTAAAGTAAATTCACATAACAAGAATGAATCTTTATTTTTTCTGGCAATATTGTTTTATTAACACACTACTTTCTACATGACTAGCCCTGGACTACAGTGACTAAAAGAATTAATGTAGAATCCTGCTTCGTTAACACAGCTAATGAACGTTTTGTGATATTTTGGTAGAAAATATAAGCTAGTGGATGTAAAAAATAGTTTAACCAATTAACTTTTAAAAGTTTCCAAAATATGTTAAATAGTTGAATTGCTATATTATATTCTTAATGGAATTCTATATTGGCACAGTGAATAATGATATGATTAAAATTATTAACAGTGTTGTTGTCATGTAGTCTCACATGCTTATTACTATTAAATATCATGCTTTGTCAACTAAGTTTTTTGGGTGTAGAAAACCAAGTCTACAAATTTAAACTTGGAAACTTTTTTTTTAATGTAGACCAGCTCTTGCTGAGACATTGACCAAGAATCCTACTGTTTATCCAGGTTAGTACTTTTTATTAGAAATCATTCTTGCAGTTATTTCAGAAGTAGTAGATCAGTAGTTTGTAAACAACTTTTTTCATCAACATACAGCTTTAGTAACTGTTTTAAGAAGTGAAGACACAATGTTTTCATTTTAATCAATATATACCCTTAGTCACTGTTTTAGGATAGAAAGACAATGTTTTTGTTTTTATAAATGTACAACCTTAGTTCCTGTTTTAGGAATAGAGAGACAATGTCTTTGTTTTTATAAATGTACAACCTTAGTCCCTGTTTTAGGGATAGAGAGACAATGTTTTTACTTTTTATAAATGTACAACCTTAGTCCCTGTTTTAGGGATAGAGAGACAATGTTTTTACTTTTTATAAATGTACATCCTTAGTCCCTGTTTTAGGGATAGAGAGACAATGTTTTTACTTTTTATAAATGTACAACCTTAGTCCCTGTTTTAGGGATAGAGAGACAATGTTTTTACTTTTTATAAATGTACATCCTTAGTCCCTGTTTTAGGGATAGAGAGACAATGTTTTT